AAGATGGAGGGGGGCCTGGGACGTGAAACGGGGGTTCAGCTCACTGCTGTCAGCATCTGGGAAGGTTGGTTGTGCTCTTCGGTCCTTAATAACCTGGAATCCAGTTCAATGCTAAAGCTGAGGCCTGATGCACTCGTGTCATGTAAGACCCCCTCATGCAAGCCCTGCGGGGTCACTGCTGCTCTCTACCTGTCCCTGTCTTGCTCCCAGAGAGAATGGGGGCAAAAACCAGGCAAATGACAAAAGCTGTATTTCCTTTTTGTTCACTGAATCACAGACTGGTTTGGGTTGGATGGAACATTAAAGATCATCTCATTCCAACCCCCCTGCATGGGCAGGGACACTCGTAGACCAGGTTGTTCCAAGCCCCATCCAGCCTGGCCTTGAACACTTCCAGGTTTGGGGCAGCCACAACTTCTCTGGGCAACCTGGGCCAGGGTCTCACCACCCTCACAGCAAATAATTTCTTCCTAAGATCTCATCTAAATCTCTCCTCTTCCAGTTTAAAACCATCTCTCCCCCCACCATCCTGTCCCTCCCTGCCCTTGTCCCAAGCCCCTCCCCAGCTTTCCTGGAGCCCCTTCAGGCCCTGGAAGGTGCTCTAAGGTCTCCCTGGAGCCTTCTCTTCTCCAGGGTGGACACCCCAACTTTCCCAGCCTGTCTCCAGAGCAGAGCTGCTCCAGCCCTCTGAGCATCTCCATGGCCTCCTCTGGACTGGCTTCAACAGCTCCATGCCCTGCTTGTGTTGGGGACCTCAGAACTGGACCCAGCACTGCAGAGTTGTGTCGCCAGAGTAGAGGGGAAGAACCCCCTCCCTCAACCTGCTGGTGGTGCAGCCCAGTTTGGCTTTGTGAACTACAGGCACACATTGCCAGCTCATGTTTAGCTCCTCATCAGCCAACACCCCCCAGGTCCTTCTCCTCGGGGCTATTCTCAATCCATTCTCCTCCTAACCTGTATTTGTGCTTGGGATTGCCCCAAACCAGGACCTTCCACTTAGCCTGGGTGAACTTCATGCTGTTTTTTCCCTTCCCTTCTGCCTTGCCCAGGGAGACGTGAGGCATCATGCCGCTGGTGAAGAGGAACATCGAGCCCCGGCACCTGTGCCGGGGGGCTCTTCCCGAAGGGGTGACAAGTGAGCTGGAGTGTGTCACCAACAGCACGCTGGCTGCCATCATCAAACAGCTGGGCAGCCTCAGTAAGTCATGGCATGGGGACCCCGTTGTGGGATGGGGCGCTGGGATGCTGGTGGGACGCCACAGTCGCTTGCTCCTGTTGCAGTCACAGAGAAAGCAGGGCTACAGGAGAGCCATGCAGGCTGCAGCCACCCCTAATCCCACGGGAATTAGGCAGCTAATTAAAAAAAAGAAGGCTGCTCAGTGCCAAGCACAAAGTACAGACTCGGTGACATTTTTAAGACCCTTTTTCATCCCATCTCTGGTCTGTGCAATGAGGGACGAAAAACCTTCATGAGCTTCTTTACTTGGCCAGAAATCGGAAGGTCAGGCAAAGATTGAATAACCTTTTCTTTTTCATCTTAGAGCTTTCTGTGGAGGAGATGTCATACAAAAGGTCTAAATCCTCAGCTTTCTTTCTGCCCTGGGGCTGATTTCTGCAGAAAAGGGGAGGATGGGAGCTTTGCACACTCCAGCATGAAGGTTTAATAGCAGCAACCAATGTCACTGCTGAATATTGACCTGAAATAGCGAGAGGAACACAGGCCCATCAGGGCTCCTCCCCTTTCCCCCCCTTTTAGAACTAAAATTAAAATGAAAATACTCCCCAAAAAATAATCCCTGAATTTAGGGAGCTGCTGGAAGTGCTGCAGCCAGTGTGAGGAGCACCCATGGCCTCATCCAAGGGAAAAAGTAGTCGATTACAGGTCTGGGAGAGGATGAGCCTCAGCTCCTAAAAAGAACAATGCTGGGGAGGGAGCCTCATGGAGCCAGGGGGACACGTGTGGCCCCAGGGCCACCTGCCTGCTGCCACGGCCTGTGACGGGTGCCCTTGCCCTCTGCCAGGCAGGCATGCAGAGGACATCTTTGGTGAGCTGTTCAATGAAGCCAACAGTTTCTACATGAGGATGAACTCGCTGCAGGAGAGGGTGGACCTGCTGGTCATCAAGGTGACGCAGCTGGACTCAACTGTGGAGGAAGGTGAGGGGCTGGGGCTGTTTTGGGGTGACAGCTGGGTGTGAATGGGTGGGAAATGGTGCTCAAGGCCAGACCACCCGCCATGCCTCATTCAGGGGGCTGAGGTCATCCCTACATCTCATCTTCTTCCCGTGCCCCCAGTTTCACTGCAGGACATCAACATGCGGAAAGCCTTCAAGAGCTCCACGGTGCAGAACCAGCAGGTCGTGTCTCGCAACTCCATCCCCAACCCAGTGATGGAGATGTACCAGCGCTGCGACAAGCCCCCGCCGCTCAACATCCTCACGCCCTACAGGTAGGGTGGCCAGTGCCTTGCTCCTCTGGGGGACTGAGAGGGTCCTGTGGAGGCCTTTCTGGGAGAAGGCATCAGGGATTGCAGCCCATTTGCTGCTTGGCAAGGGTTGTTTGCTCCATCCCCGTTGTGTAGGGCACTTGGGACACGTGTCCCCCATGCACTGGTACTGCAGGTAATGACCACTGGGTAGGACATGTTCATGGTTGGACAGCAGCTTATGGCTGTGATCATACCAAACCCCCCTGTTCAGGGGAAGGAAGGTCATCTCCTGTGGCTGAAAACCCTCTCTTTTCTCTTCCTAACCCTCCCAGGGATGACAAAAAGGATGGCCTCAAGTTCTACACTGACCCCTCCTACTTCTTCAACTTATGGAAGGAGAAAATGTTGCAGGCAACAGAAGATAAGAGAAAGGAGAAACGCAGGCAGAAGGTAACGGGCAGGTGGGGGACACGAGGGAATGAGCTGAGGCTGGCCAAGGCCTGGGGGATGGTCACCTACCTGGTGCATCCAGGGGGGCTGGGTGATACTCCCACGGTCCAGAGGAGCTGGAGATGAAGCCACAGCTTGCGTGTGCCCTCAGGAGCAGCGGCTGGTGGAGGACTCCACCCGGGAGGTGAAGAAAGTGAGGAAAGCCCGCAACCGGCGCCTGGAGTGGAACATGATGGCGTATGATAAAGAGTTCCGACCCGATAACAGGTTCTCACCATCCCCCTATCACATGGCGTCATCGGAAGGATCACTGTCCCCAGATAATAGGCAGGTTTTACCTACTATGCATTTAGCTCATCGGGTCACCCTTGCTTTTCTCTTCTTCTCCATCTTTTTGGGGGACGTGTTGCCTGCAGCAGGGTTGGGGTGGTAAGTCCTAGACCCATGGTAGCTTCATGGACAGCTGGTGTCCTCCTCGACATCAGGAGCAACCTGAGTGTTGGGATAAAGTTGGAGCACTTCCCATTTAACAGATGAGGGAAGAAATGGGTTCAGCTGTGTTGGTGTCCTCCTCCCCTACCTCTCAGCTTTCTTGTATCCCCCTGCCTCTGCTTCACTCTGGTGAGACCTCTGCAATGCTGCGTCCGGTTCCAGGGTCCCCAACACAAGAAGGACATGGGGATATTTGAGTGAGTCCAGAGGAGACCATGGAGATGATCCAAGGATTGGAGCCTGGAGACAGGCTGAGAGATTTTGGGTTGTTCAGCCTGGAGCACAGAAGGTTCTGGGGACACCTTAGAGCACCTTCCAGTGGCTGAAGGGGCTCCAGGAAAGCTGGGGAGGGACTTTTGACAAGGGCCGGTAGTGATGAGATGGGAGGTAGAATAGTTTTAACCTGAAAGAGAGGAGAATTAGATGAGGTATTAAGAAGAAATTGTGTATGTTATGGGTGCCCCATCCCTGGAAATGTTCAAGGACAGGTTGGATGGGGCTTGGAGCAACCTGGTCTGGTGGGAGGTGTCCCTGCCCATGGCAGGGGGGTTGGAACTGGAAGGTCTTTAAGGTGCCTTCCAACCCGAACCATTCTATACTTTTATGGTCTATATTTTGGTGGCCAATTTTTATTTCATTGTCTCAACCCCCAAATCCTCCCAAACCCACCACCCCCTGCCCAGCTCCCCTCCCCCCTCCTGGGAGTACAACCGTGGGGTTTTCCTGTGCCCTAGATCTTACGCCTCGGATGCCGCCGACCACTCGTACCCGGCGAGCCCCAACCACCCCGCGCAGCTGCTGGCCCCGACGTCCCCCCCGGCCCCAGCAGAGCACAAGGAGGGGGGTCTGGCAGCTGTGCCCCCCCAGGAGCACGTGTACCGCCCGGTGCCAGCGGTGGGCAGCCGCCAGAACAGCCTCAGCCGCCTCCAGCAGCCCCACGTGCCCCAGCCCCCCGAGGCTGTTCTCAACGGGCCCAGACCCCACTTGGTCAAGGATTACGGGTAGGGCTGGTGGAGGGATGCCCAAGGAAAAGGGGGGTCTGAGGAAGGTGGGGGGTGGGGAAGGCTGACACCCGGTTTCTGGGCTGATGTAGCTGGGAGAACCTTCATCTGCAGCCACATGGTCCAAAACTGCTGCTGAGAACTGAGGACAAATCAGGCAGGAGCACTTTTGGGGTAACATTATCTCAGATAAGGGGACAAGGTGGATGGAGGAGACAGTTTTCCCCCATGGTGCTGGCTGCCTTCCCAGCACTGTGTGCCCCACAGCCCATCCTGCCAGCAGCAGCCCCCCCCCACCTCCACCACCCTGAGATAAACCTTACCTGGGGGTCTAGGGCAAACCAAACACAGCAGAGCCAGTTGGGAGCCCTGGAGGGGTGATGAGTACCTGGGATGGGTGATGGGTGCCTGGAAGGGATGATGGGTACCTGGGATGGGTGCCCAGGAGGGATGATGGCTACCTGGGATGGGTGCCCAAGAGGGGTGATGGATACCTGGGAGGCATGATGGGTACCTGGGATGGGTGCCCAGGAGGGATGATGGCTACCTGGGATGGGTGCCCAAGAGGGGTGATGGATACCTGGGAGGCATGATGGGTACCTGGGATGGGTGCCCAGGAGGGATGATGGCTACCTGGGATGGGTGCCCAAGAGGGGTGATGGATACCTGGGAGGCATGATGGGTACCTGGGATGGGTGCCCAAGAGGGATGATGGGTACCTGGGATGGATGATGGGTACCTGGGATGGGTGCCCAGGAGGGGTGATGGGTACCTGGGATGGGTGATGGGTACCTGGGATGGGTGATGGGTACCTGGGATGGGTGATTCCCTGTACCCATGCCACAGCTGTGCCTTCC